CCCACAGAACTGAACCTTCTACATTTCTTCGCCCTGAAGGGATCATCATCGTCAGACGAGAGATTAGAGAGGATGAAGATGCTTGTAAAATCGTAAAAGAAACTCATTCGAGCTCTAAGTGGAAAAACCTAGAAAACAATCGAAATATCTTTGAGATTATTTAAAACGTCAGTGTGACAAAAATTATTTAGCTACAGGTTGGTTCACAATATCCCCAGCATCCATACTTTTAAAACTATTATGTATACTGTACTTCTTCTCTCTTCTGTCCTTGGATAATAACTTTTGGCAGGAATTCGTTTCAGTTTTTTTTTTTTTTTGTAATGTATTGGGACTTTCTTTAATTTCCCTTCTAATACCATCTTGGACGACAGAAAATTTATGACTAAAATATTTACCATACAGAAGGAACTACTGCATGGATGACACTTTGCTTTTTTCAATCTTCCATGCAAAGCGTGACGTGAATAAAGCGGAGCCCCCAAACATTGGCTGTGTGAACTAAGTGTAGACTTGCAAAGTCATAAAGAACAAAGTCTTAACCGATCTCAGACGATTTTTATTCCAACCCGGCTTTAACCTTTATATTTAGCAACCTGAAAGAACGATCCAAAATAAGCACCCGAAAAAAGGATATTAGAGACTCAATGCCGAGGGCTTTAAATTCTCGTAAACTAAACAAATCACGTTCCTCAATCTCGCAGTAGAATATTTCGAACCATTCTACTAGTTTTAGTTGTAATCTGCATATGAATCCAATTATCATTCAACTCATTTCAACTTTTCCATCTACATAGCCAACCTTCCACTTTGATTCGCAACTCTGGAGTAAAATGAGTGACTTTAATCCTCAAGGAGGGGAGACGGGGCTTGACTCTCAAGAGACCAAGCTACCGACCTATTGGAACACATCCTTCTCCGAGATCTGTCTAGGGATGAAGATTGGTAATCTGTCCAGGTTCATTCTCGTCAAAAAGCAAGCCAGCTCTTTGTACTCACTGATCGCTGACGGAAAATACCGTGCCACGTCACTGGGTCGTAATACATGGAAGTTGCTGATTGGCTCCGAGGCATCCTTGCAATTGAATTGTAACAAGGAAGGGTTCAATGCTGTTGCGAAATCTAAAGGAAATTCCAAAGCTAGAATCGGTATCATCGCCAACAACGAGAACGATTGCGAAAGTTGTGACTCCAGAATTGGCTTTGGCACAGGTGCGTATGGAGACGACTCCAACACGTGTGGGAACGAAGCAATTTTCGCTTCAGATAATGGAAACAAACACATCAAAGCCATGGGGTATATCTTGGTTCAGTGACAAGGAAATCGATCTAATCTTCAAGAAATTAACAAGGAGCCAGCCCTAAAGGACTTGTTTTTAGGAAGATGTAGCAAAAGAGGTCTGAAAAAGAAATTAAACATCGAGTCTGAACTCATCATGTTTCGTCTTGATAGGATTTCCACTCCCTCCTTCCTCCAAAAAGTGCAATTTGCGACAGATAAAAGCGCTTCGTTGTTAGTCCAGCGAGGGGGAGGATAAGATAATAAGGGGGATGGGAGAACAAATGCCATCCAGGTAATTGAATGGATAGTGGCTTAAACCTATTGTAATCCACTAAGATATATCAGACCAATGGAATATGTACAAGTGGTAAGCAGTCTACTATTTCAGGTGAAAAGGGGAAAAACTAATAGAATATATTGCTGCGTTTGGTCCTTCAAGAGTATTTTCTTTTATAATACTTCCTTTCTTTAGAAACTTGTGAAAGTTACCAGAAGAAGCTTCTCCTACTTTGCTTGGTTTACCTTTCACAAATCCTTGTAAGATAATCTTTCTCAACGGCAATCAGTTTAAAATGAGTGAATGACTACAACTTTAGGTCTTTTCATTGTCAAGTACTTAATGTTTTTCCCTCTTTGACTCGTTTGTTCTGTTCTCTGCCCAAGGAATCTTTTAAAAGATTCCTTGGACTGAAAACAGAACAAAACTTCTCAGCAACACGTAGTGAACAGCTTTTAATCTCAAGCAGTACTTTAAGCACAGTAATCCAGTTTCAGCTTGATCTCCTTTCCTATTTGACGATTGAACAATACTTAGTTGTATTAATGTAAGCATTATTAGATATAATTATTATAAAAAGATCCCGCACTCATAAGTAAGAAAAATATTTGTGTATAATCTTAAAACTTTTTCGTAGAGGGTCACTATAACACTTAGTTAATAGATTTTTGTTTTTGTCTCAGTCATCATCTGTTTCAGCTTGATCTCCTTTCCACGATTTCACAGTTTACCAATGATTGCCGGCCTTCATTATAAGCATTTTAAGATATAATTGTTATCCAAATGACGATGCCCTGATTAGAAAGAGCCAGCCTCCCTATGTATACTGTTTAAAACTTTTCGTAGTCACTAATTCTTTCTATATAAAACTTTGCCACATCCAGCAACAACAAAAAAACAAAACAAAACAAAACAAACAGATGTCCAAGCCAACATTCATCATCTGACCTTTTCTCGTCTACCTAAAAAAGAAATTCATTTTTCGGCGAAGTTAATTTTTTGGCAATTCTTGGTTATGAGGTCATCCTATAGCACTACTTTCATTCCAAAAACGAAAAGAAATAACAAAAAGTGAAAACGGTCCTTT